TGCTTCACTCTTGGAAGCCTCATCAAAATTCTCCACAAGATCTGGAACTTTATTACCATCTTCCTCTCTGGTACAAGAACTGCTTTTTCATCCACAGATGCTTTGGGCAGAGCTTCAACCAGTCTCCTTAAATTAGTCAGACTGTGTGCACCAAGCTGGTTTAAGACGCTGGGTATCCTTTCTGTCAGCTGCTTGACTTCAGCGTGGCCTGTGATGGTGAGAGTGTTGCTGCCAGAGAGGCCCAGGCATTAGAGTTGTTAAAATGGCTCACTGTTCCTTGGTCTGTGGACATATTCACCTCTTAAGTACCAGAGATATTGTTTACCCCTAACTTCTTTAAGGAGAACAGAAGTTTTTTATCATCTGCTGTACTGTTCTGTGGACCACCTTCTTTCTGCGAGAGTTCCTCTCCCACCAATGTGCACCTGTGCCTGAAGTATAGCGAGTTTCTCCTGATTCATGATAGTTTCTTTCATCTTGTTGGAGAGGAATGGGGCCATGTGGGGGCCTAGGGTTGGTGCTCAGGGCATCTTGGGCAGGTCAGCTGAGAATAAACGCAGGGATGCAGGATGGCAGCTAGAAGAGATTTTAATTTTTTGAGTCTCCTCTCTTTCGTTTTTGGTAAGTCTAGGTAAAAGTTTGTCTATTTTGTTTATATTTTCAAAAAGCCCACTCCTAGTTTTACTGATCTTTTCTATTGTCTTCTTAGTCTCTGTTTCATTTATTTCTCTTCTGATCTTTGTTTTTTGCCTTTGTATTGCTGTTTGTACCTTTAGGTGTTAATATTTGCTTTATATATTTAGGTGTTCCTATATTGGGTGCATAACTATTTACAAATGTTATATCCTCTTGTTGGATTGATACCATTTGCATTATGTTCTTCTTTGTCTTTGTTGTAAAGTCTACTTTGTCTGATACAAGTGTAGCTACGTCAGCTTATTTTGGGTTCTTGTTGCATGGAATGTCTTTTTCCATCCTTCCACTTTCAGTCTGTGTTTGTCCTTAAAGCTGAAGTGAGTTTCTTGTAGCGAGCATATAATTGTAGCAAGTCTTTTTTTGTTTGTTTAAATCCATTCAGCCATTCTGCATCTTTGGATTGGACAATTTATATTTACATTCAAAGAAATTACTGATTGGTATGGACTTACTACCATTTGGTCATTATTTCTAGCAGTTTTCTAACTCTTCTGATCCTTTGTGATTTGATGAATTTCTGTAGTGGTATGATTAGGTTCCTTTATCTTTTGTGTATCTACTATAGGTTTTTGCTTTGTTGTTACCATAAGGCTTTCATCAAACTACTTATATCTCTAAGTCAATTTTAAGTTTGTAACTTATTTTCAAATGCATTCTAAAGCTTTACTTTTTACTCCCCAACTCATTTTATGTTTTGGGTTTCTGAAGTCACAGTTTACATCTTGGTATCCTTTGTATCCATTAATAAATCATTGTAGTTATTTTTATTACTTTTATCTTTTAACTTTCATAATGGCTTTATATGTGATTAAGCCTCCACCTTACTACCCTTGGGAATTGCTTAAGGACAGGGATACATTCTGAGAAATGTGTCAGCAGGTGATTTTTGTCATTGTGCAAACATCATAGAGTGCACTTACACAAACCTAGATAGTATAGCCTACCACACACCCAGGCCACAAACCTGTACAGTGTGCTACTGTACTGAATACTGTAGGCAACTACAACACAAAAGTAAGTATTTGTGTATCTAAACAGAAAGATACAATAAAACTACAGTATAAAAAATAAAAAATGGTACCCTCATAGGGCTCTTTTCATGAATGGAGCTTGGGGGACTGGACGTTGCTCTGGGTGAGTGAGTGGTGAGTGAGTGAAGGCCTAGGACATGGCTGTACACTGCCGGAGACGTTACAAATATGTACCCTCAGGCTACACTAAATTTATAGAAAAATCGTTTTCTTTCTTCAATAATAAACCTTAGCTTACTGTAACATTTTTACTTTATAAACTTTACAATTTTTACTTTTGTGATAACACTTAGCTTAGTAAAACGCAGACATTGTACAGCTGTACAAAAATACTTTTTCTTTATATTCTTGTAAGCTTTCTTCTATTAAAACATTTAAAAATTTTTTTTTTAGTTTTTAACAAAAAAAGTTTAAAAACTAAGAAACACACGCACTAGCTTCGGCCTACACAGAGTCAGGATCACCAATATCACTGGCTTCACATCACACCTTGTCCCACTACAAGGTCTTCAGGTCAGTAACACACATGATGCCCTCATCTCCTATGACAACGATGGCTCTTTCTGGAACGCCTCCTGAAGGACCTGAGGCCCCTCTCGAGGAGGTTGTCACCTGTTTCAGAAATATGTCTATAGTTATTGCTGGGTTTCTTTTTTGTCATCATAAGTTTTCTTACAAGCAGATAATGTACGATGAACATTCCTCTCTGTTGATGAAAACCTTTCAGTGTTGAGGTCCATGTTTTTAAACGTCTTTAGGGGCTTGTTGAGGTCTGCAAAAGCTTCTGCTCAACCTTTCGCTGTGTATTTTCTTGGGGCTCATTAACTATGTGCTCCTGTCCAGTTGCTACAAGTCCTCATTAGTCATTTCCTCAGGCTCCCCCTATAGTGTCCCCAGTGTCACCCTCATCCTCACCCAGGTCACAGTTGTGTGCCATCTCAAACTCAGCCTTGGTGATTTTTTTCAACCTCCTTACCCTTGGAAAATCCTTTGAAGTCATGAGCGAACCTCTTACTCAAGATGCCATTCATATACTCCTTGGAGACATCACCCCAAGCCCAAGCAAGCCTACTGATTCAGTCATGGACGATGTCATCCTTCCAGAATGGCATCAGTGTCTCCTTGGTTGCAGCAATAGCTTTGGCAAAGGTCCCCCTCAGGTAGCCGGCTTTAAAAACTGCTATACCTCAATGGATAAAAAAAAGTGGCATTTGGAGAGAGAAACAGCACTGTGACATTGGGATGAAAATGACCAATAAAAGGAGGATATCAGGGGGCATTATCAACAAGAAGCAAAATCTTGAAAGTTACATTAGTCTCCAAACAGTACTTCTCCTGGCTGGCATAGCAATTCAGGGGGGCATCTTGGGAGAGGAGCTGGGTCATCCATGACTTCTGCTCCCGTAGTGCCTTGGCAGTGTGTGCTCACTGACATGCATGAAGACCCTGGTTTCTCAGGGGCCAGAGCACAGAGGGTGGCAATGTATAACCTACAACATCACCCCCACTGTGCTCTGAGGTGGGTAGCTGATTAAGAACTGTTTCTCTGTTTTTTACAGTCCTATGGCATCTGCGAAGGTAAGCCCACTGGCCACCAGAACCAGGTGATCAAGTGGTGTCCCCTGGGCACAGCTGCAACCACTGGACCACCAGAGGTGTGCACAAGCTCCTTTATGAGTGCTACCCATGACCTTGAGCAAGGCCAAAGCCAAGTCTGGGGTCTTTGGAGTATGTTGCAGTAGGCCTCCAGATGTGTACTTTAATTAGAAGCCCCATCAGGGTGAAGTTTTAAGATAAGTAAATAGGGCTCTTTCACAGAAAGATGGGGTGTTTTCAGTTTGTATCCTCTGTGCTGGGCCCTCATGTGGGTGTGTGCCAGCCTTTAAGACCTGTTTCTCAGCTTGCTAGAGCCTTGTGGACACAAGCCCTGAGGGTTTTCTTTGGGGCTTCATCTCTTGGGTCCAGGCTTTAAAAGTTGGGAGTCCCCAGTGTGTGGTTCAAACTCTTCATTCCTCAGGGAGAAGCTGGGAGTATGTGTTCCCTCCCACTTGTGGGCCATCACACCAGGGAATTTATGGCAAGATTATGTCTTGGCCTGTTTCCCGTTTCAATGTGGGGTTTTTTCTCATTTGTCTGATGTGTCGAAGTCGCTCATCTAGTTATTGGGTTTCTTTCATAGGAAACTGTTCTGTATGTAGCTGTAGATTTGGTGTGTCCATGAGAGGAGGTAAATTCAGGATCTTCCCCTGTCACCCTCTTGCACCCTAACCCTATCTCTTATCTTTTTGATGACAGCCATCCTAACAGGTGTGAGGTGTTACCTTACTGTGGTTTTGATTTGCGTGTCCCTGATGACTAGTGATGTCACATACATTTTCGTGTACCTGTTGGCCACCTGTGTGTCTCCTATATGGGCCTGAGAGGGGCTGGAGCCAGTTCATGCACCACAAGCAGGGGACCGAGGTCTGTTGGATGCACGGGTGGGTGAGACTCCCCCGGGTCCCTTGCAGTAGGGTCGCTGGATCTCACAGCTCCCACAAAGGCACTTTTGTTCATGGATGGATGCCAAATGTTTGTTGTTGGAGGGCAGGACAAAAATGAGGGATGACTTAGGTCACCGTGATGCTAACATCACTCTTGACCTTGTATCTAGAACAATACTGTCATGTTTGTGCAGGTGGCAGTCTGCACATGTGGGAGTATTTCTATGAGAAAAAGCCCCAGAGTGACTAGATCAAAGGGTTGATGAAGCTATCATTTTGATAGATATAGTCTATCTCTCTTTACAGCAGTTTACACTCTATCTACGGTAGGGGAGGGCGCCTATTTCCCCACATCCTGACTCCGTCATTCTACCGACCCATGAAACATAGCAATCCATTGGGGCTCTCTTTTGCATTTATCTTACTACAAGTCAGGCTGAGCTGCTTTTCCTGTGTTTAAGAGAGATTTACATTACCTCTCCTGTGAACTACCTGTATTCTTTGTGCATTTTTCTGTCTTGGGTTTTGGTTCTATATTTCTTGATTCACTGGAGCTCTTTCCTTTTAGACAGGAGTGACATATTTAGAATATCTTTTGAAATCATCCAAGGAACCCAATTAGAGAAAGCACAAGAGGAGCTGTGTGTCTGTTTGAGGTCAGGGTCACAGGGTGAAACTGATGAACACTCATGCGGGGTGTCTGTGTTGCTGGGCAGCACACAGGGACGCTCACCTGGGCCAGTTTTCTGAACCTCACCTGCCACTCTCTCCACGGCATTTATTTCCACAGCTCATGTGCTCCTCGGTGCAGAAGGCCCTGTTTGAGGAGGAGGACCACGTCAAGAAGCTGCAGCAGAAGGTGGCCACACTTGAGAAGCGGAACAGGCAGCTCCGCGACCGCGTGAAGAAGGTCAAAAGGTCCCTGCGGCAGGCGCGGAAAAATGGCCGCCACTTGGAACTGGTGAACCAGAAGCTCAGTGAGAAGCTGGCGGCCACAGCAGGAGCCATCCCGCACATCAATGCCCTAGGGAGGGAGCCCGCAGGCAGCACCTACCTGCGGGGGTAGCAGTGACCCCAGGGTGCACCACCCAGCACCCCCCGGGGCATGTTGCCTCTCGCTTGGGAAGGGCAAGCGATGGTGGTGTTGGGTATGCCCATAGTTCACATAGGAAACATCGAAGATATGTTTCCTATGCATTTGGTAGTGTCTGGCTGGTTTGAAGGGTGAGCCCTGCTGCCCCACCTGGCCTGGTCCAGACAACACTTGGAGCCCAGAGGCAGCAGCATCCTGGAGGGTCTGTCTTCAGGTTCCACGGTGGCCTGCAAAGTGCAGATTGGGGAAAGAACATCTTACACTCTCTAGATATAAGATGTCAAGGGGCTTGGCTTTTATCTCAAAAGGGAGGCAGTGTGGCCTCAGCTCTGTGCTCTGGAACAACTACTAGTTTTGAGGAGTGATCTGAATCAAGTCATGGGTGTCTCATTTTCCAGATCTTTGGAAGGAGGATGGTGGCCTTACAAAGCACCCAAGGATGCCTCCCAGTAAATATGTGTAGGGTCTCCCTACTCCAGCCATTATTTCCTCACAGCTGAGGCATATTAGGACTTAATGAGCTCATCACAGGTAAGAAAATTGAGTTGGACGGCAGGTCACTCAAAAGATACCCGATTACCAGCACCAACTCCCCAGAGCTGAACCTGAATGGGTCACTGTAATCGAGCGGGGCATGGCCTTTATGGACCCGTCCTATTTCATCACACCACGTTCCTAAGTTGGAAAACCCTGAGCAACAGCTCAGCCATTGCTAAATTCTGCCTTCTTATTTTCCAAGTCATTTCTTCCAGTTTTTCTGAATTCAAGGTGAGCTGCCCCAGTATGCTGTGGACTTCTGTCCTTTAAAGACACCTCCTTACCTATTGGAATCAGGCTCCCAAGCAGCTTGTTCCAGCTGTTCCACTCTCTGCTGCTTTATGGAAATGCTTTCCACCCGCCAGGACTGACCTTGCCTGGATTAATGTTTGCACACCCTCCCACATGTCAGGAGTGCACCTGTATGCAAGCTAAACATTTCCTCCTCTTTGGAAAGAAACCTTTAAAGACAGCACTGCAAGTAGAGAGTAGAGTGTTCACTATAGCTGACACTTGAGCTCTTGACTTAGGCATATTGGATCAAGTCCCAGTTGTGTTATCAAGTCAGTTGAATGTCCATCTCTTGGTTATCTTCTGCTGATGGAACTGAGCTTTCCTCCCTTGCTATTCCTCACTGAAGCTTCTGGACCCTCACTGGAGGCCCATAGACCACCAAGACACTACAGGGCCTGTGTATGCCACCTTCTCCATTGGAAATGGCAGATTTCCATTCCACTGGCAGCCAGTATGGAGGCTGGACCTTGTGTCGCTTCCATCTCAGTGGCCTCAGGCGAGAACTCTGGCCTGGACTGGATGGCATTGGAACGTTTTGCTCAAGAGCACTTCATTCTCCCACTTCTGCCACCACTTTATTAGCTGTATGCTTCTTAGTGGGGTACAGTAGAAAGTGCCTCTTCTAGATTATTGTCCCTGAGGACATTTCCTTAGAGCAGTTTTGCTTCCACCCAAGGGAATGACAAGCCTAAGGGTGATTTACAGCCAATGTTTGAAGAACTGTGGAAGCTGGGTCTCTACAGGTGCCTTACGTTCTGTCTTTTCAATAAATATGAGCAATATTTCAGCCACAACAGTAAAGTGATGTGTTTCTCTGGGGTCAGGGGGATTTCAAGATTTCCAGCTTTGCCCTGGAAAGGCAGTTTAGATCCATTGGGGGACGTGTGTGTGGGCAACACCTGGGGCATTGAGGACACTGAGCTCAAGGCTCCCTCTGTTTCCCACTGGAAGTGGCCTAACTCTGTCTCTCCCAGGGTTCTCATCTCTCAAGGTGCCTGCAGAAAAGCAGTCACCCTGGTCTGCTCCCAAGGGGCAAGCAGCTTCATTAATCAATGTCTTCAAATGTACACTCAAATCTGTGGCCAAAGGGAACGCTTCATGTCCCAATTATTTGCTGTGCTATCATCTTGCTGTAGCCCTTGCCACCTGCTTATTGTACTAGTGGGAATTTTTTATGCAGGAAAACTCCCATTATAAGTACTCACCGGAACTTGACACACATTAGACAACCTATATAAGCACTATTTCTGAGATGCAGGCCACTGTTTAGTTCCACTTTGTGCTTCGAGGAGGCCAAGTGACTTAGCCAAAGTCACATAATAAGCAAGAGGCAGATACAATCTAGAATCTTTCAATACAGTCCCCAGGAGTCACAAGCTGCTAGCAGGAGGGCCACACCCAGGGTAGGGAAGAGGTTTCTTGGTGACTTCAGTTTGGGCCGCCATGTCTATTGCAAGAGCTCCCTATGTTTTATTTTTTAACACCAGGATGTGTCATGTGTTTATGGTACCAGCCTGGCAGTGGAAGTTAACAGGGTTTCTCTCTCCTGTGGTACAAAGGTTTATCTTCCTCTGGGGAGAGAGAACACGAACTCAGATCACAATGTCTGGTCAGCTGTCAGCTCAGCAACAGTCCACATTCTGTGATGGTTTAAAAACAATCAAGCACCCAGCATGTATTAGGCTCTTTCACATATATTATCACATTTAATATTCCTAATAATGTTATAAAATAATTCTCCTGATCTCCATTCTCCAAGAGGAATCTGGGGCGTCAAGAGATTATAAGTAAATTGTCCAATGTACATAACTAGGCCAATCAGTGATTCAACTCCAACTTTGCTTCTGTTCAAACTTGCTCATCTGTAAAATGAAGGTAATAATCACTCCTACCTCATAAATTGTTAAGAGGATTGAATGAAATTATTCATGTAAAATCTTAGCATGGTGCCTGATACTCCACAAGCACTTGGCAGATATTGCTTACAGTAATTATTTTTATTGTAAGTGCTCACCAGAAAGACCCAGTACATGTCAGAAATAAGAGACTATCTGGTGGGATTCTATATAATTTTCTTGTCAATCTTTGCCTTAAACTTTAGCCTCTTTTCCAGCCCCAGCACTTTCTCATTTCCCTTATTTCTGAACCACCTCCTTTTCTTTCACGATCAATAATTTATTCCTCCAGAGTTACGGAGAAAATACAGTCCATCCAAAATGTGCTTGCTCAGCCTCCTAGTGTGTCGTATGTTGTCTGGGTTTGCCCAGCCTTCTCTCCTTCCTTCCTGCTCAGAGAAAGGCACATTCCTCCTACCCAGGGTCAAACCCTTTCCCTGTTATCTTGAGTTCATATCACTCCTCTCAAAACCTGCCTCCACCGAGGTTCCCCTCTTTCATCATAAGCCTTTTCTTCGGCGGGGACTTCTGACCTTATCCCCCAGCCATGCTCATATTGACCCATCCCAGGAAAAAAATAATAAGCATAGTTTATAGAAAGTATTTTGAGGTGGTCTTTAAAGACGGTGACACAAAAGGCTCCTGAACTCCCCTCCGCCCACAGACACACCAAATGAACAGCTACATGGGGCAGTTTTCTCCAAAAGAAATCCAGAGACGAGCTGAGTGACTCTCATACAACGGGGGACAAGAATACACCCACACCAAAATGAGTAGGAAAGACTGAGACATGCGCTTGCCATCAGCCCCACCAATAGAGTGAACGGTTTGGACCCCGTGCCTAGACCACAGGACTATACAGCAAACCATGAAGCAGTTACTAATGGGCACAGCACTCACTTCGGCTGTCGCCCCAGGACCAGTGCTGAAGGAGCAGGCAGAACATGCCCTTCTCTGTCACTCCCCGGATGGGGTCTGTGTGCGCACTTTAACAGCTGCTGCCCGAGGGCCAGGCTTCTAATTTCGCACACATCTGGGGGTCAGTGGACATTTCTCCAGCCCTCTCCCTCTAGACAGCTTCAAGTTACCAGTATCTCCCTGGAAGGAACTTATACAAACGTCTGTGATTCAGAGGGGTCCCGGATTACCTGGCTCTGCTAGCCAATGGGGCTCCCACTCAGGAGTCCCGCAGGATTGTAGCAAACAGAGAAGCTCTTAGCAGGCTATCCCCCTCCCAGGGCTCAATATAGAAGGAGCAGACAGATATGCCCATCTCCCAGTCTCCCTGAAAGAGGTCTATTTGCATTGCTCACAAGCTGCTGCCTTCTAATTAAGCATGCATCTAGAGGCTGACTGCATTCCTCCCCAAGCACAGGGAAGCCGTCAGACACCTCCCCTGCCTTCTCCCACTAGTCTGCTCCAAGTCACCAGTTTCTCCCTGAAAGGAGCTTGTACACATGTCTGGTGCCCCGGCTTTTGTGGCTTCACCTGAGGGACAAGCCCCCGAACTGCCTGGCTGTGATAGTTAATGGGGCTTGCATTCATGAGCCCCACAGGATGTAGCAAACAAAGAAAAGGTTCTGAACAGGCTCAGGAGCACCATCTGCAGCTATAGACCGGAGCCCAAGGCAGCGGGAGCAGGCAAAAACGCCCACCGCCTAGTTTCTCCCTGGAAGACACCGAACTACATACTTTTTCAGCCAATGCCTGAAGGTGCAGCTTCCAACTGGCCTGTACATAACTGGTGACTGCGACCCTTGCTTTGGGGACAATGACAGGTCTTGGTACACCCTCAACTACTGGGAGCCACTAGGAAGATAGTAGGTGGCTTGATCAATCACAAAGGTTAGAGAGACAACCAGGAGCATGGGCCAGGCTGATCTGATAGATGAGGTTTATCTCCAACACAACAGTACAGTCCAGACTGGGAGAGGTGGCTGTTTTATCTAATGCACGAAAACCAGCACAGAGCGTCAAGGAAAAGGAAGAAACACGTTCTAAACAAGGAACAAGATGAAACTCCAGAAACAAATCTTAATGAAACAGATATGTTACCTGAGAGAGAGTTCAAAAGAATGGACATAAATATGCTTGCTGAGGTCAGGAGAGCAATGCATGAGCAAAGTGAGAATTTCAACACAGAGACAGAAAATATAAAAAAGGACCAAAATGATCACAGGGCTAAAGAATACAATAACTGGACTGAAAACATTAATACAGAGGTTCAGCATCAGACTAGATTAGTCATAAGGATCAGTGAACTCAACAGGGCAGTAAAATTCACCCAACCATAGGAGCAAAAGACTGCAGATAGCTTAAGGGACTTATGGGACACCATTAAACAGGCCTATATACACATTTACAGGGGCCCAGAAAGACAAGGGAGAGACATAGAAAAAAAGGGGGCAGAAAGGTATTTCAAAGAAATTATGGCCGAAATGTTCCCTAAGTTGGGGAAAGAAACAGACATCCATACCCAGGAAGCTCAGATTCCCAAAAAAGATGAATGTAAAGAGACCCACACTGAGACACATTATAATTAAATTGTCAAAATTAAAGACAAGAAGAGAATCTTAAAGCAGCAAGAGAAAAGCAACTTATTACATACAGGGAACACCCACAAGATTATCAGCATATTTTTAAACAGGAAAATCTTTTGCAGGCCAGAGGGACTGGGGTAATGTATTCAAAGTGCTGAAAGAACAAAACTGCCAATCAACAACACTACTCAGCGAAGTTGTTGTATCAGAATTGAAGGAGAATGTGGTATTATATATATAAAACCATAAAGACCCCACAAAAACAAAACTAATAAATAAACTCAGTAAAATAGCAGGATATAAAATCAATATACAAAAATCGGTTTCATTTAAGTTCTCCTTCAGAACTAAAGAAGAGATAAGGAGTTTTCCAGACAAACAAAAGCAAATGGAGTTCAGCACACTACACTAGCCTTACAAGAAATTTTAAAAGGACTTCCTTAAGATGTTTAAAAAAAAAGTTAATAAATATGAGGAAAACATATCAAAATATAAATCTCATGGATAAAGGTAAATATATAGTTAAAATCAGAATAATGTAATTGTGGTAGATTAATCACTTATAAAGTGAGTATGAAAAGACAAAAGTAGTAAAGCTAACAACAATAATTTATAAGTGGATACACAAGATAAAAAGATGTGAATTTTGACATTGAAAACATAAAATGTAGGAGGAGAGAGTAGAAATTTAGAGCTTTAGAATGTGTTTAGGCTTAACTTGTTACTAGCATAAGATAGACTGCTATAACTCTAAGATGTTTTATGTAAACTTCATGGTAATCACAAAGCAAAACCCTATAGTCGATCCACAAAAGATGAAGAGAAAGGAATCTAAGCATACCACTACAGAAAAATCTCTAAGTCAAAAAAAGAGAGCAAAACGAGAAGGAACAAAGGAATTACAAAACATCCAGAAATTAATTAACAAAATGCAATAAGCCATACCTATCAATATTTAATTATAAATGGATACATTCTCCAATCAAGACACAGAGTGGGTGAATGGATTAAAAGACAAGATTCATTTATATGCTGCCTATAGGAAACTCGCTTCAGCTTTAAGGACACACACAGACTGAAAGTGAAGAAATGGAGAAAGATGCTCCATTAAATGGAAACCCAAAGAGAACAGGGGTAGCTATACTTTTTTTTAAAAATTAATTTAATTTATTTTTTTTTAAGATTTTTATTGGGGGAATTGGGGGAAGGGGAACAGACAAGTTGCTGTCGTCTTGTTCTTCAGTCTAGTTGTGGAGGACGTTGCTTCACTGGCCCAAGTTGGCACCATCATTGCGCTCTTCTCTGGCGAGGCAGATCAGTCACCGGCTTCTGGACGGCCGCTCACTGCGGCTGCTGGCCGCTCACGCTGGCTGCTGGCTACACACGGTTGCCCATGGCAACCCACTGCCACAGGGGCTGCAGCCTACGCCGTCGCCGGCGACTCACGGCAGCCCAGCTCCAGGTTGAGCTGTTGTTCAGCATCTTAGCTGTGAAGGGCAGTGTCACTGGCCCTCATATGTGGGATCCGAACCGGAGCCCTCTGGCATCCCAAGCGACTTCTTAACCATCGCGCCTCTCGGCCGGCCCGAGGGGGTAGCTATACTTATATCAGACAAAATAGACTTTAAGACAAAAACTGTAATAAGAGTCAAAGAATATTATTATATAATAAATAGTTAAATACAAGAGGATATAACATTTGTAACTGTTTATGTACCCTACACAGTAGCACCTAATTATACAAAACAAATATTAATAGACATAAAGAGAGTAATAGCAATACGTTAATAGTAAGGAACTTCAATACCCCACTTTCCTCAATGGATAGATCTTCCAGACTGAAAAGTAATAAGGAAACATTGGACTTAACATGTTAGGCCCGATGGACTTAACATACTGACAAGACATTCCATCAACAGCAGCAGAATCTTCTCAAGTGCACATAAAACATTCTCCAAGATAGACCTTATGCTAGGCCACAAAACAAGTCTTAATAAATTTAAGAAGACTGAAATTATATTAAGCATCTTTCTGACCACAATGTTATGAAACTAAAAATCAATTATAAGAAGACAAC